TTTTTTTTTTTTTTTTTTTTGCTAAAGAAAGCTCTGTTATTGCTTCTACTTTGTACCTGACTATATAGTCTTGTGTCCAAAACCTTCCTGATTTTAGAGACTCAACTAGTCAGTCAAGACCAATAAAAAGCATACCTAATATTCTCATATACCTCATCATAAATCCTTTTTCCCCAAAAGACACCTCTCCCAAATATTCAGCTTCAACAACACTTTCAGAAAAAGGCCATATGTTTAGGGGAGTTCTGAAGTATGTTCAAGCCCCATCATTAAAACATCATACAAAGAGTTTTCATGGAATCATCATGAAACAAATAACAGTTTATACAGAGATTCGTGGGAAGCAAGATTCATTGGTATTTTACCTTTCGGGCAAGAATTTGTGTCGGTGTGGTGTCTGATGATCCCAGCGCTGACAAATCTTGCCTGATTCTGTATGATCCATGGGACCTCGATAGCTTTCCCCATTGCAGGTCATGCATTCAACTAATAAAATTAAAGTATGGCATGTTAATTGTTTCTGACAGCAAACTCAAGAACACCACTGTTTCATTTAAAGAACAGCAAATCAATTTCTCAGCAAACAAATTTTTAGACAACCCTACAAACCACCCTAATTTTAAATTGGGGACTAATGTCCATAAATAGTGGCATAAAATACATGCTATGGAACTCATTATATAGTTTAAGTATGTTAGTCTCATACAGATTCACCTGAGGGCCAGGATGCTAACTGTAAAATTTTTCAGTAACTGTCCAATTGTATGTCAATACAAAGAGACCAAAAATATAAGATGGACAATTGGAAATTTTTCTCTTTTTGGTCTAAAATGCAAGGATCTTGGTGTCTCTATTTTTAGCACAATAGGGTTCCTCTCTCAACTCACCCTTCAAATACACATATAGTAATTGCACCATTCAAAATGAGTACATGGTATTTTCTTATGGTTAATTCAATAATCAGGAACCAATGTATTTAAGGAACCAGTTGCAGACAGAAATTGGGTGCAATTCAAAGGACACAGATTAGAAAGAACAAAGAAAGAGAAAGAAAGAAAGAAGTCACAGATCTTTTCTGTTAGTGAACATCCATGTTGTGTTGGCTGGGCAAGCTCACATTCTTATCCAGCACAGGATAGAAAATGACCTGCTATTGAACTCCTTGTACCCACTCTTTTTAAAATGTATAAGCTGATCTAATTATGCAGGATCTTACTGGTGATTTTGTGAGGTTAATTAATTGTTCTCTTCTGGCTGGTCTCTTAGGTCACAATGAAAACTCTGAATCACGTCAACTAGCTGAAAATGAGACTTCACAAACAGAAGGTTGATTTGTAGCAAGGCACGCATCCTGCAAAATAAATCATTGCTTGGCTCTCCTACGAATCCGGCAAATTTCCCCAGACACATCATTTGTATCTTGTGATTACTGATCATCTAACTTTAGTTGAAGTGGGGAAAGATATCAATGTTTAGTTTTATCCACTGGAATCTAGCCTAATGGATATTGGTAGTAATTTGGAATATAATATTAGAATCATCACTTTTGAGCCTCTCATTTTTACAACATAGAAGGACATTAACTATTAACTTTCTGAAACACATGATCTATCTATTGACTTGATCCATCTACTTCTTTTCATGCAGGTTAATTCATAAACTAAGACAAGGGATCTATTCAGCTTCCCCTCATTTGATACTGTGATTCCCCAGAATACACTCAATAAGTAAATCAGAGGGGTTCAAGAGCATATTGACAAGGATGCTCAGGTTAGCCAAAGTCAATTCCTCATTGAAATGCTCAGAATAGGTTATACATCATCACATTTCAGCTTTTCATTTGAATGGAGTGTAGATTTATTTGGTGCCCCTTAAAAAAAAAGAATTCATGATTTGATATCTTCAATGAAAAGGATGAAGCATTTATCATTGTTGTTTGCTCCTTTGTACTGAATTAAAAAGTAGGATAGCTGTGGTCATTCATAAAGGTAAGCATCCAAATGTCTAATTTCTACTCTTCAATAACACTCAGGAATCAGAATATATCTATTATATTTCCTTCAGCAAATGCATTTTGTAATAGTATATATCCTTCTAATGAGAGACAATAGAGTTATTTTCTGGGAAGCAATACTATGAACATTATTATAAAACACTCTTCTCAGACTTGTTGAATTTTATTGGTCTTAGGAAAAGATAGCTACACAAATTAAACAGATGATTCCATAAGATGACTATTTTCTAGAATGAGTGTGGTAGGTCAATTCTTCTCCAAACATTAATGTGCATAAAAATCTCCTTCAAATCTTGTTAAAAAGCAAACTCTAACTCAGTGATTCTGGATTGGGCATTAATAATAAGCTATCAGGGGATGCTAATGCTGCTGGTACTTGGACCCTCATTTTAAGTAGCAATTTTGTAAATACTGTGATCTCTTCTAAAGTTCTAAGTGTTTGGTGGCATTGGATTTTTAAGAGAGACTGAATTTTACTTGGATCTTGAAAGATAGATGAGAGCTGGATAAGGAATAAAGGAAAAATTGCAATAAAATGGTATGAAAACATGAACTAGTATGTTCTGTTTGTAATAAAGTGAACAGAGAGTTATGGCTGTGGTTATTGGCCCAATGAGATAAAAAATAATAAATACAAGTTAGCAAAAATAATTAGATTTTGGAAGGCAATGAAAGTTGTAAGAGTAGCAATTAAATGTGTCCTATGATAGAACTGAGATGCTAAAATATGCATCATTTTGATTACTTATTATATACTGCTAACATGTAAGATATCCTTTGATTGCTACAATGAAGAAAATACAACTCACACAAATTTTAAGAGACTTACCTAAAATAGAAAATGTCAACCCTGTGTCTGGAACACAGGTCTTCTGACCCACACAGTCTACAGTTCTTTCCATTGTCCCAATTTTCCTTTTGTTCTATATACTTTTACACGTTTCTGAAAAAGTCTAACTGGCCATATTTTAAGATAAACTGATAATTTTAGGAAGTCCATATTCTTCCCTTATTCAAAATTATCTCCATTAGCTTCTGCCTTATTCTTTAGAAGAGTAGGTTACCCTCCTGTTGAATTCTCACCTATTGGAGGATAGAGAAAAAAAGGCCATGGGAGAGCAACTAGATTGGTCAACTTATACTAGGTAAGTAACCAGAAAGTTTGCCTTTTTTACTATTGAATTAAACTCTCAGGTTAATAAAAAAAAATTACCTCAAGAAGGCCAAAATTCTGAACTTAGTTTTCAACCTTTGCAAATTCTAAGAATCTTATAAGTTTTCACAGCTCACACCAAGTCCACATACCCAAGCAAACAGGTGAAAGTATGAATTATGCAATGGTGCAAGGGGGTTGAGGATTGTCCTTGGACCCTGTCTGTCACTGCCAGTTCATTATTTAATCATCCCAGAAAGTTCTTCCCTTTAAAAAATAAAGATAAAAGCAAAGTACTATCCTAGATCACATTAACTATTCTTCAGTTCAATAGTCTAAGAATGGTTCTGACCTAAAAAATAGTAGAAAACTATAAAAACTACACATAAATTGTAATATAATCAGGATTAATTTAACATCTTTATCATCATACCAACCCAAGAAAAAATTGTGTACTGTTTTCCTTAATCATAAAACCTCATGTGTTGTGAGTTTGCAGAGTAAAACAATTATTCAAAGTATCTGGATCTATTTTGAGTCACTGTTTATTTTATTCCAGTAAATGTACTCCCTCAGAAAAATCCATACATGCAATTTCTTCAGCAAAACTGAATGATTAAAATATGAATAGTTTCACAAATTCACACTTACAGAAAGTTGTTTCATTTAAGTATATTTCTTAAGGTTTTTTCCACATGGAATATGAAATTATACACATAAAGTTATTTTAGTGTTGTTTGGGACTTTAAAGTATTTTAAAAATAATGATTATGATTTATTTAAAATATATTTAATTGAGTACATGACAATCACTAAACATGACATTTGTTCCAGTGACTGATGAGCATTTTAAATCCCAAATACTAAAACAATAAATGGAATTTTATGTACCTCAACCTTCTATACTTTTAAATTATGCATTTATTGGTAGTATTTTCTTTACATAATTGTGTAATGTTTTTTCTTATGTTGGCATATAAAATTATATATATATGTATATATATATATATACATATATATATTATCACTTATGATGTTTTAAAGCATATATACATTGTAGATGGACTAAAAGCAATTAATTAACATATGTTTTAGCTCAGTTATTGCTTTTGTGCTAAGAACATTTAAAACTCAATCTTCGTTTTTTAAGAATATAACACATTATTATTAACCCTAGTAATCATGTTATACAATAGATCCTTTGAACTTACTCCTTCTTTCTGAAAGATGCTAAATGTGAAAAAAGAAGTTATTTTTGAGTGATTAATATATTTCAGCTTTAAATTGTATGAAAATAATATCAAACAAGATATCATATAATTATTTTATGAACCAAAATTCTAGCCAAATTTCAGACAATCACTCAATCAAGAGTTTAATATAATTACAAAAAAATCTAAACATACATACTCTTCTATATATATTTAATAGTCCAAAAGTTTAACTACCATGTTTTCCTCTGTAATTTTAAATATACAAAATGAGGATTACTACCTAATTCATAACCTTTAATACTTGCCAGTTAATATCCATAGATAGAAATGGACCACCCATTATACTATTTAAGCATTTCAGATTGTGAGATTTCTCCATCATATATGTATTTAGTAGACGTTTACATCACATCTGCATTCTTTTTTCTTTTTTTTTACCCATTTTATAAATAGCTCTTTTTCTCTTTGAATGTATTGACAATGCTGCTTATTTTGAATCCTCTTCATTAAAATCCTACTAACATATTGCTTAATTTAAGCTTGAATTTTATATATGATTCAGTTCACATTCCCTGAAATATGTTTAGCCTACAGGGCAGGTGTCGATTCATTTCCCCTGAAAGAAGGCTATTCCATTGTCAGACCTTTAATTGTTTCCAGAAAGAGCATATCTGCAACCGTTAGTGAGGGGGTGACTGAAAACGTCACGGACCTTTAATACAAACGAGCAATGCCCTTTTCTGGTGAGGTTGGATGACCTCAAATTATTAAAGGATATTACAGAATTACATTCTAATAAGGATAACTGAAAATAGGAGTTTAAAAATTACTTATTTTATAACACTTTTATTCTCCATCACCTGTTCATCAAGATCTACATCAGTGTATTCTGATAAAGGTTTTTCTTATCAACCAGGGGTTGAAAATCTCATTCCCACAGGAATAGGCAGGTAATATACATGCTAAACTGTATAAAGTTTGATCAAATGACCTACCTTTGAAAACACTTTAACAGGTCAAAAGAATTTTAGATAAATAAACAAAACTCCTTGTCAGTGATTTTTCAATCTCTGTGATAGTGGATATTCCCCTAAAACAGGATTTTTTTTCTTCCATGTGCAAATTTAAGACAAATATTAATTACAACTTATTCATACAAAACAGACTTGTTCATAATGTTATCACAGATAAGTTTATTATTTTTAAAAGAAAAGAAAACAATGAAGAAGTTATATAGAACAGAATATGACATGGAATAAAAAGTAAGAATTTACAAACAGATGAAACTGGCTCCACCACATGAAGTCAAGGATTATAAATTAACTAATAACAAAAAACACATTTGCCTTCTCTGTGACAATTAGCTAACAATGTCCTTTACTTGTTATTTGATATATATAAACCTAATATAAAAGGATACTCATGGAGGATATATTTTCAAAAAAAATATTTGGTTAATAAACAGGTAAAATATCTTATTATAAAAATTGGTCAGTATTCTAGCAGTCCCTTCCCCTCCCCCAAGGACTTCAAAATCCTAATGAACTTTTAAAATAATTTATCCATATCTCATTTGGATTTGGAGAATTATAGATTTTTGACAGAGTTGAAAAACCCAGCTATTTGGTAGCCAAATGACTAAGAAAACTGAAACCACATACAATGCTGAAATCGTTATTATTCCATCTTGTCAGTCACTCAATTTTCCACTGAAATTGTAAAAATAGTACTCTTTATGCTGTGAGAATTTGGTTAAAAAAAACAATATAGACATGGGTTTAGGGTACCTGACTTCAAGAAAATTTGGGGCCCACTGCTTCCATCTCTTCAGATACTATTCTGAGTGGCACTCAGTCCCAGTCTGTGTCCAATTTGGTTCTAGACACATTTTCATTAAATGAAATGTACACAAGGGTTTCAAACTTACATTCCACTGAGCCCCTGTTATATTCTCTTCTGGGTACACAGACCTTGGACATACCACATCAGAGCAGCTTTGACCAAATCTAGACAGAAGCACGTGCTGGATGAACAGACCTACCATTACTGCTAAAGAGCTAATTTCATTCAGCTCCTTTCAGGTGATCCATGAAAGCAGAATTGGAGGTAGGTGAGCTTAAGACAGCAGGTAAGTATGCCCACTTTTAACTTTTTCCCCAAAGGGATATCTCAGGCTGACATTTAAATTCAAATGGATAGCTTGCTCCATTATTGTGCAGTAATCTGGTAATCATCAGATTGYAAAACATTGTGTAAGAATGCTCAAATAATTATCTATGGTTGCATTTGAAAGAACAAGATGTTTATTTGTAATTGATTTGCTCCTATTAAGCTTTAATGTGAGTTACAGTTCTACACAGGGGAATAGAGTTCCCACACGGCATTCAGGTTCATTTACCTTCTGAACACTGAGGAATGTCACAGACTTCGTAGCGTACCTCTGGATTGCTTGTGAAACACCATGGTCCCCCTTCTTCCCCTCGAGGATTTCGACAGTAGTTTTCCTGTAGGTCTTTACCCCGATAGCTCGAAGGCAAAAAGCTAGTTTTAAAATGATAATCATTACAGTATAAGAGCATGCAACTTTATGTTTGGCCTATTAATTTTATGAATTAATAGTAAGCTTTTTCTGAAAGTAAAGAAACCCTTAAGTCTCTTATGTATACTTTCATATATCTTAAATTCTGTCATTTCCATATATTCATAAAATACTTGAATTTTATTAAAGTTTTCCTTACTGAACTTCCATATTCAACATCAAGAATTATTAGTATCTGGATTTTCTAAGCTGCAAATACTCAAGCATGTAATTGGTGTATCATAAAAATACAATTCCGAAGCTCACTGGAAGACAGCAAGTGCTTGGGCAAGGCCACCAAAGAGAGAACTGAGAAATCACTGCAATCAACTTCGACATCTCACCATTACCCTGCTTATGCAAGGTCCTTAGCTGTCTGATMACTGCTTTTCTTTTGAGGACTAGCGCCCCCTTCTATACAATTGAGAAACAGATTGATGAAATAACATGAACAAAGAATACAAAACTGAATCAAATCTGGGCTCTAATGTCAGCTCTTTCTCTTACTAACTGTGACACCCAGCAAGAAAGGCAACCTCTCCCAGCCTGTTAGTTTTGCTATATACACACTGAGTACAAACATAACCTATAACTTTATGTGGTTGTTTTAAGATGTTCAAAGGATGATGGAGTAATCGATAGTTGAGAAATGCAGCCTATGATTAAGCACATTCAACCTTGTAGTCACTATGATGTCATAATAAAGAACACAATTGCTTATTCTCTTCAAAAATTTTWTAGTATTGATTATAACTTGGACTTGTTGTTCCCAGATATAACTTCTAATAGTAAGCTATTGGGTGCTGTAACTTCAGTACATTACCTTCACCTAAAATTTCTAGTGCCTTTGTGATAGTTTTGTTACCAGCATAAAGTATTCCAACACATCAGAACAGGCCAAAGCCTATATATTCTTGTTGTATTGCTCATGGAATTGGACTCAATGATGATACATTTGTCTGCTAGGCTGCACAGAAAAATCATTAATAAAGGAATATGCATCTGTAGATTATACCAGTAAAAAGGTTTTTTTGAAAATCATGTCTCATTTTCACCTTTCTATTGTGTATTTGCTAAAAAAAAAAATTATTTCTGCTTTGCTGATCTCAGAATCTCAGAATTCTACATGTACTTAAAGTCCAAGGATTTCAATCTCTCAATAAATATGATTCAAATGTGTTCCCTACTCAGTGAAAGTTCTAATTATGAAATGGATATGCTAATTACCTTTGGCTGGTCATTAGCCAATATATACATGCATCATCATGTTTCATCTCATAAACTCACAGACATTATGTGTCAATCAAAAAGAAAAAAATCATTTTTTAATGTTATAACACAGAATGTATGCAGGCCTAGGTCAGGTACCAAGCGATGTTTTGCAATAAAATTCTTTTATTTAGAGATGAATGTACATACACCAGAGTCAAGTCCTCTGAAAATATAAATTAGTGCTCAAAAAGAAATAGCCTATTCTAAGAGACTTATCATTGAGTCAACATTTTCAATGAACCAAATTAAATATTATAAACACTATGCAACTCCAAAGTGTCTTTAGATAGTTTATAGCCTTACTTCACTAACATTAGATGTGTGCAGATATAAAAATAAAACATTAGGTCGTAATTAAAGCTCATCATAATTTCACAGTGGTTTCTAACAGTTATTAATTTTAAAAAAACTTATTTTATTGTCTTAGCTCCATCATTCCAGAATATTTTTTTAGTCTATCTTTTCTTRTTTGTGACACCCTGAAATTATTTCCTTTCATTTTTTGGCCGATCCTCAAATAGAAAATTTATATAATACTCATTTTTTTTTTGACAATCAAAACTGACTTTTGCTTTCTTATATTCATGAAGTCAAACTTACGAAAATTCTWCCAAAACTCTATAATATATAAAAAGTAGAGTGGTAAGAATAAGTAGTTATTATCACAAAACCATATTGTTGCCTCATATATTTCACCTGACTAGGGTATGACATGGTCCTTAAACAATTTATCTATTGTTTTAATTTCTTCATTTAAAGGATAAATGGGATGAGCAAAATTACTATATGTTGCATTTCTGTCCTTTTTAAATTAAGTTTAGTGGCTTTAGCACACATTCAATACACACATATTCAATATCCAAAGTCTTAAAGAGAATTTTTAAATCCATGTATGGAGAGAGAGAGAGAGAGAGAGAGAGAGAGAGAGAGAGAGAGAGAGAGAAATACATATACATCTTTCTAGTGGATTTGCAAAGCCAAAGAGAAGTTATTAAGTAGTGAATGTGTCAATCAATAATTTAATGGAGAAAAAAAAAACAAGAAGAAAGGAAGAGAGATAGATAAAGTAGAAATTAAAACAAGATATGGTCAAAATTTGAATAAAGTTTTCCCAAAACACTTCATAAAGTGAAAAGTTGGGCTTCTTGCCACAATTCTGAATCAAACCATATCAGATGCCTCTTTAGAACATTGAGGTTAAAAAACAGTGTGGGGCATCTCTTTTCTTCATTCTTTGGTATATTTGAGCTTTTACCCAAACTGGTTTTCTTTTGTGTCCCAAGATGGTTAGCCTGACTTTCCTCAGCATCCCATAATTGGTCAAGGGATGAAGGCTGGCTCTGCCTTTTCACCTGTGAGTGTTCTTGTGACAAATATTTACAAAAGCCTACTTCACACAAGGTCTGTGCCCGTCTGTAGGCTCTGTAATAAGCTTTTGGTCACACACGTGCTATTTTTAGTACTCTGTCCTTGCTGTTAGCAAGGCTTTAGGAGAGAAGAAATATTTGAAATTGGGTTATATCCAAATATATTTTGAAATATATACTAGGTCTTCTGGGTGCTAGCCTCCCTTTCTTTTCTTCTAATATAAACTGTGCTCAGAGGAAACTTGATCTATTCCATCATCTGCTTCCTTAATGAATGCTGGATGGTTAATGAAGGATATAGATGTAGATATCAGGTCACCTGATTTTCTGGTTAAGCTTCTATACTAATTTCATCATCTATCATCATCTTTTCATTAAGCCACTTGTAAAATATTTCAATTTAGGGAGTCAACAGTAAATCACTCCTTCAGACACAAACATAGTTATTTTTCTATTTCCTGTAAAATTGGTGTTTAGTTAACACTTAAAAGCATTAAGCTATCAAGCAGATATTCCATAAGCTGCTAATTGATTAAAATTAAATGTTGCTCCCATTGGATACAAAAAAATAATTTGATTAATAATACAATATCCCCTCAGCCATAAACTTCTATACCACAAGGAAATGTTCTTTGGTAAATAGCTGATTAGACTTGAAGCCAGTTCCCAGAGAGATATATTTCGCATTTACTCCTCTAGCAAAGAATCACAATCATAGAGAATTTGGATTGAAATAAGACCTCTGCTATGTCAGTTCAATGCACTCTCTTGGACTAAGGTTGGATTGATTTCAAATGCTATTTCTGTGTTTGTGAAACACTTTGATCTACCTATTTAAATAAAATGTCTGCTTCATTATGCAGATCCTTAAGAAAAARTCAATTATACTGCTCATTTTGTAACATAAAGATAGTTTCCAAGATACTTCCATGTAACTGTTACAAACTAACTTGAAAAAATAGTTTTCTATTATTAAAATGGGGCTGGGGATATAGCTCAGTTGGTAGAGTGCTTGCCTTGCATGCCCAAGAMCCTGGGTTCAATCACCAGCACCAAAAAATAAAATAAAATAAAATTGTATTTGGATGTTCTATTATTAAAATACTGTCAACCGGTTCAGCTTGGACACTGAACTAGGTGGTGTAAACTAGGCAAGATCAGGGTTTGGTCCTATTGAGAAAGAACTCTTTCTTTATATGTGGGACAAATAACTAATCTCTGTTTACTAAAGCAAAATCAACCATATCACAAACGTATGCTAATAAAAAGCAGAATAAAATCAAAAGTGTATCCATCAAGGCCAAGTCATCATTAGTATTGCAACAATGTGTCACAGACTGTGTCCTACTGATAAGCCAAGTATTTTGTGCCGTAGAGTTGTTACAAGTAGAGGTTACATAGTGATACTGATTGGGCTTATCACTATACTATTTACTATTTACAGAAATACACTAAGGTTCTTTATGCTACAGTGTCACCATGTATATAAAATAGAACTAAAACCCACTACAATGTTTGCATGACTGTGTGAGATACACCAGTAAACTGCTCAGCAAGGCACTTGCCACTGGAAACTGAATCATCCAATGTATTTACTAACCAGAGGAGAGTTGTTTTAAAAACAACTTCATTTCCTGTTAAAATTATTTGTGAAATAAATTTGCAAAACCATGGCTATATTTAGTTCTCTGGTAGGTATTAGATACATATATTTTTCCTCCACAATGATTAAATCTCTTAATTTAATGAGCCTATGAATATTATGTTTACCAGTCTTTAAATAATACTCATCAGTTATAATAAACACAATTCTCTTCAGTGTAGACATTTAATTTCCAATTTTCTTTATCCTTTTTTAGACAATAGTGAAGGGAGTAATTCTGAGGCATGAGCTATTAGCTGTGCTTCTCAGCTTTGGTTGTGCTYTGGAATCATCTGGGGAGCTGCCAAAAACACACTGGTATCCCATTCCCCCCAGGGATTGATTTAACTGCTATGTTTCTCCACATGGTAAGATTCTTCAAGGGCTTGCAATAGGTGATTTTAATGTGCAAAGATGGAATCCACCAATGTTAAAGTACCCTTAGCCCACATAAGGTCAGAGTCTGATACACTTTGATTTATCACTATCAACCCTTTAGCTACATAGTGTTTTCTCAAAGGCAAAAAGAGGAAAAATCTTTTTTCCTCATAATGTATATTTTCACTATTTGTTCACAAACATCAAGATTAATAAGTTTAAGCATTAAAGTAAGAAAATACAGGCCACATTTTAATATAACTTTGTTATTCTTTTGGTAAATATCAGTCATAAGCCTTGATTTCATACAATTCAGCAATGTTGACCAAGTTTTCATAGAACTGTAAAATCATTCACATGGACTAATGTGAGATTGTTAATAGGCAAAAGACAGAGGCCACATCCTCTTTTCTTCATGCTGTTCTTACCTGTGTTCGTGGGGTATCATGGAATTCCAGGGCTGGCACTTGATGCCACTCTTGGTGATAGACACTGTTCCCTTGTAGCTGCCTCCTTTACCAATGATGCAGTTCCTAATGTAGTCTATTGAAAAAGCAAAAGAAAATGTTGTAAAAATGTGTCTTTTTTTAACCTTATTAAAATTGTGTGGGTTTTTGTATGCTGTATTTATTGAAGAAAAAAATAAAATTCCATTTAAATCTGTAAGAAATTAAYTCTGGTAAACTATTTCAAATAACATAGATATGTCTTTCCTAAAGCTTCTACTGTTTTCAAAATAACATATTTCAGAATAATCTAAAACAAACAGGAAGACTATTAAGAAGCTTTAATTTTGTGAGTATATTAAATATAGATAACCACAGAGATCAATCTCTATACTTAACACAGAATAGTAGTCTATATTCTCAAGTAGCCAGGCCATTGTGATTTGCTCACATGCATAGTCTTAAGAAAATATTAAAAATAAAAATTGATTCTTAAACTGTTTTGAATTCAGAAGTTTAAGATAACAAAATTAATTTCTTTTTTTAACTAGGTAAAATTGTGTGATATGTATATGTATATATATGATAATTATATTAGTTTGGTTACTATTTTCCATATTTTCTCCWATATTTAAGCTGCTAAATTACAAGAAAGCTGAATTTTAAGAAGCTGTATATTTCTATTAAATAATAGTACTATAGCTGTTAACAAACTAAAAGAAAGAATGAATTCGAATGCTCTTAGGTTAGATTATGAGTTGTTTATGGATTTGCAGAATTATTAGAATATGTAGAAAGATTACCTTATTTTCTACCATCAATTTCCTTTTAATTTTATTTAAACATTAACCCATCAACATGAAAAATCTATGTATAGTATCAAATAACCAAATTTAATAGGACACATCATGTATTTTTGAAAACACTAATTTTAAAATAAAAATTATTTTCATGTGCATAATCCATGATTATTGTTTTCTATGATGGAAGATTTGATTTGTAAATTGATATTTATTTAATATTTTATGATTTAATTTACATAATTCTGCTTTTGAACAATGTAAATGTATTGTGAGTACAATATCAGACCACCAGAAGAGAGAAATTAAGAAATATTACAGTCTAAATCCCTTTTYAAAAATGTTTTAAACTAGGCTGGGATTGTGGCTCATTGGCAGAGCCCTTGCCTCGGAATTATGAGGCACTGGGTTCAATCCTCAGCACCATATCTAAATAAATAAAATAAAGATATTGTATCCATCTACAACTTAAAAAAATATAAAAATACTTTAAACCATTTTTTATTTGTACATATTAATTATACCTTCTTTTAAAAAATTTTTAAACTATATTATTAGGTATAGATCCAATTTATTTGTCCAGAATCTCCATATTTTATATTTTATAAAYCCAATTTATTTGTCCAGAATCTCYATATTTTATATTTTATCAATGATTATCACTATAATAGATTAGATATCCAAAGTTCTTAAAATTAAAAGTCTATAAGCTAAAAATTCAACACAATACAGGGTACTTAATCTAATAAGATAAGGAGATACTTCCTAAAATAGGAGAATAGGAAGAATGCCTGTTTTAAGAGATGCTCCCTTCAAAAACACCAAAGAGGAAGGAGGACATCTAGTTTATAGAAAACTGGGGAAATATTCTAAAACTGGTRCTCCTTTCATCAGGCTTAATGGATGAATTAACTGCAATAACATATTATCATATAATGGAAACATCAGTGGGGAAAAGCAGGGAGGCAGGAAGTGACAGATGTGTTATTTCATATTTTATTTCGTTATGAAATATTTAGGAAAATGTCAGTTACCTTTGTTTTCATAGAGGTCAAACTCATGGCCGAATTCTTTTTTTACTCCACTTGACATGCTATTGAAAGGCAACCAGAGGCATCGTTTCCTTGTTTTATCAAAAACAAAAGCCCTGAAAAAAAAATATCTGAATGAAAAGAAGGAATACTACTATTTATATAATTTTGAAAGAACAGCATATGGTTTACCAAGGAGGATAATATATAAAAACAGAGGCATTACTGTATACTCATAATAAAATCATAAGTAATTTTGAACTGACCATTTTGATGCCAGATGAGGAAAAAAAAAAGTTTTGTAGGTGTGGATTTTATATCAAATCAAATGCTATTTCCAATGTTCTCATRTTATTCCAAATTACTTGTAGAAAAATAAGAGCTTCAACCAGCAATGTCAATATGTAACACAACTACCTGGTTATCTGTGAAGACTTTTTATTAAATACCCACCAAGTTAGATTTTATTTGCATTTACATACAAAATATTATATTTGAGATATCGGAATGAGGTTCCAAAGTTTGTAATTGTACTAAATAGATTTTTAAATGTATTTTCTAAGGTGTATTAGACAAATGACCACTTCTGGAGATTCTCCTAGGAAAGAATGTCTGAAATCAAATGTTTAAAGATTTTCACATATAATATCCCTTCTTGGTGAGTCATGATATACTAGAGATTATTGAAGGCTATAAAAATCTTGCTGTAAGGATAATTTTGTTTGCTCAAATCAATATTTCCTAAATAAGTTTTCTTGCATAGGCATTTTAATAAAAAATGTAAGTATTAGAGAATATGCTTTTGATGTATCATCATAAGGAAAATTGCTAAAACGTGTCACTCCTACATAACCATACCTAAGAATCATACTAGATTTTGCTGTTCTCGTTCATAAAAGTTTTATCTAAAACAAAATGATAAATACTCCAAATCTGCTAAAAAAAATATTTTTTATTAGAAAAGTGGGTAAATGCTGGGATCCTAATTAGAATAAGTTATACTCTATGTATGTATAATATGTCAAAATACACTCTACAGTCATGTATATTTAAAAGGAACCAAATAGAAAAAGAAAGAAAGAAAGAAAGAAAGAAAGAAAGGAAGGAAGGAAGGAAGGAAGGAAGGAAGGAAGGAAGGAAGGAAGGAAGAATTAATGAATGAAAAGTATTGGTACAGAGTTCAGAGTTTTCAGTTGCTAATCTCATTAAACATTTCTCTCATTCTATTATAACAATATATTCTCTAAGAAAAGCATTTTAAAATGTTATTTTACACATCCATATGGAATGTTTGAGACTGTCAATTACATGGTTGTATTTTCTTTCAAATATGACATTAAGAGTTTTTATCTGAGCTTTATTTAGATTACCATATTGTTTTTAAAAAATGACTTTTTTTCTGTTTYCTAGTCGTTTTATGTCTAGAGGGCAACTTCATTACCAGGCAGTCATGGCTAGAAGAAAAAAGACTCCTATTTTCTTAAGTCAGTTCATGAATTTGGAGAGCCATTTTCTGGAGAGCTTAGAACCAGGCATTCTGTCATCTTTCTACCTAGCAAAGAGGAACGCAGTTCCACTGTTGATTCCTGCTCAAGAGGTAATTTGAGAATGTTCTACACCTCTGCCTCACTTTACACAACTTTCTTGATGTTTTCCAAGGAATGTAGTTTGGTTTTCATCACTTTTTAGTCCTATGACAACTCTGGAAACAGGGTTTTTTTGATGCATTAAGAACCAATGGGCTGGGGTTGTGGCTCAGCAGTAGAGTGCTCGCCTAGCATGTGCGAGGCCCTAGGTTCGATCCTCATAAAGATATTGTGTCCAAATAAAGAATAAATTAAAAAGAAAACCAAATTTCAATATGTCCTTTCAATTCTAAATAACTGCTGTATTTAGTGACATGTGAAAATTTTACAATTAATGGGCAGAAGAACCTTGTCTGTATATACGCAATATTAAATGTGGTTTTCTGCATAGGTCAACATATATTTGAATATAAAATATAACTCAACAAGAATTTGATAAGAAAAGCTCAAACTTTATATAAGTGAGATATTAGAGTATTTATTAATAAGGCCACGTGACATTTTCAAAGCAGCAAAATCATCTTAGCCTCTACTAAATAAAACAAAGTAAGAATGATGAATGTGAATATTCAGTGTTAGCGATACTTTTCTTACTTTTAGACCAAGGAGAATATGTTTTCAAATTTATAGTTAAAAATCAACCATAAAATACAGTTATCCCTTTCGAACCCTGAGGAAGAAAATACAATGCCAACCTATTCAATTGCCAAAAGAACATCTAGATAAATCTACAGAGCTGAGATGTTGACTGAAAGTAATTTTTCCTAATTTATTTCTAACAGTTTCAAGGCTTTATACAAAAGTCAGGGAATGAAACAGAATTAACATAATTGTGTTAATTGTAGCAAAATAATCATACATGCAAAGTCAATTCTCACTGCCCTTGCCAGGAAATATTTCCCTGAAAGTAATAGCTTGGCTATAGAAAAAGAAAAAAGGTAGTCCTTCTTCTGTCTAAATCTGTTGAAGACCTTCTTTGGCCATGTTTTGGTTTAGATATGAGGCCTCCCCCTGAAGATTATGTGTGARACAATGCAAGAAGGGAGATTAATCCACTGATCTGGATTAACTGGGCTATAACTCTAGGCAAGTAATGTATGGCTGGAAGAGATAGGTCATTTAGATTATGCTCTTGGGGTTTATATTTTGCCCCTGGTAAGCAGAGAGCTCCCTCCATTTCCCTCCTCCGCCCCCCCTCCATTTCCTTCCTTGTTGCCATGTCTTGAACTGCTTTCCTCCACCATGCTCTTYCCCCAATATGTTTTGCCTCACATYGGGTCCAGAGTTATGGAGTTGGCCAACCATGGACTGATCAACTCTGAAACCATGAGCCAAAATAAACTTTCCCTCCTCTCTGTTGTTCTTGACACATTTTTTTGGTCACAGTAATGAAAAAGCCGATTGAAACAATGCCCTATGCCTGCAGGTCTATAATGTTCATTCCTCAAAGACTGACAAGATAAAAGTAGTACTTCTTGTCATGACATATTGCTAACCCCTGTGTTCACACATTCGGTGTCACTATTCAAATGTAATAAGCTAGGGTTAAAAATTTCAGAATTTTACACACAATCCTGTTTTTAAAAGGAGATAAAATTGGGAATGAAAGAAGAGAAATAAATGAAAAGAGAGAATTTTTACAAAGAAGAATAAGGAAATACACCTCCTCCTGGCAGTTTGGAAGACTATTGAGATGAAATCATCACCATTCTGGCCCCAAGCTATGTCTTATCCACTGGGATCACTGGAAAGCAGTAAGGAATTCTTCCCTATGAGGTCACATGGAGACTGGTAAAAGATAAGAAACTGTCTAGTTCAGTCCCCTCCAGCCTCCTTGAAATGCTCAATCATTTTTCATGTGAGACTTCGTCATCACTATCCCCTAACTTCTTTTAAACAGGCTCTGCTGCTGACACCAATCCCTCTAGTTTTTTTATCTAATTCACTCAACACCTTTTATTTAAATCCCTGAAGACAACTGTATAAGTTGCAGTAAATTTTGGCTGTTGCCCAATTTTCTTCACTTCTTTTGCAAGGGAAAAGAAATGGTTTATTCTTAATAGAATATTTTTAAAATGTTGGAGAGATAAAAGTCAATTTAATTTGATTTTAGTTCGATTGTGCCTAAGATGAGAAAACAAAAGAAAAAAATCAAAAATCAAGGACACTGGATTTTAGAAGGTGGTTTTTTTACTCTTTCACTCAAGCCATACCTCCCTCAACTGAAAGATACATCTTCTATTGTAATGAGGTAAATCTAGAATTCAATTTAGTTTAATGGGCAAAGTACATATTTTGAATACAAAAAAAGAGAGAAAAAAAGTAAAACACAGTTACAATGTATACACATTTATGTGTACACAATATTTGGGGAAGTATCTTAAGAAGGAAATTCAAAAACTTACTTGCAAGTGAATGGAAGTCCTTTATTCCTAATACATCGATTGGCACATTGGTCTGGAGTATTCATTTTTTTGGTTTTAATCTTCAGTAATGGGTCTTCTTTGATTAGAGTTGTCTTAGCTGACTTTTTGAATTCATGGAGTGTATTTCTTCTTTTCTTCTGTCCCTCTATTAATGCAAAAAATAAAAAATAAATATAGGAGAAATCCTTGTAAGGCTTATATAGAAAAACAAGTGCTTAAAGATTATCTACAGCAATTTTATTCAGTAACATACTAGGTCTCCAGGACTAGGGGGTGGAGTGAGTTAGGGAATAGTTAAGAGCAAGAGAAGACTACTTGTCATACAGATCTACATTCTTTCTTTCAAGTGAAGGATGCATTTCAAAATAAGAATACAATTCATGCTAAAAAAATAAATAAATAACCCTATGGAAACAGTTGTTAAGTAATTAGGAAGGAGTTCACCCTAAAGAAGTTATATTTTCCAACCAGCATGCAAGCAAGCATCTGTGCAAAGACTATACCATGCCATGCTTCATAAATAAATTTTCCATTTTCTTTCTAAAATTGGTTCTTCTGTGAGTTAAGTGTTAATCAGTAAGACAATTCAAAGTGAGAAACTTTTCACTAAAAAACACAGTGGACAAATTCTTCTGATCTGCTTTTGAAATTGTTTCATACTTTTCATATTTTATCCCTCTCTTCTCATTTACAACATAAATGTTTTCTGTGCTTCAGGGCATTATCTCTTACTATCACTGAACTGTTTGTCTTGAGATCAAGCCAAATGCTGTAAATCAAATGTATGTAAAACTTCATCCTTTAATGTAGCAATATCATTTTTCTTCATGAAAATATAAGACCCTAAGATAACATGAACCCTCCTACTAAAAACCTGAAAAACAGAACCAAAACATCCTCTAGTCTTAATCTTATGGATAACTTAATAGTTCAAAAATGTATTGCTTTATTCTTGGTTTTCCCAAGTCTAATAATGATCATCATCTTTATAATATGGATCAAAATATTTTATAGATTACAGCTGTCATATAACAGGTATGAACATGATTGGGCCCCTTTGCCTGTCAATCTCTTGAACACCCTTATAACAAAGGCAGTAATGATGCCTTCATTTTCAAAGCAAAGAAACCAACAACCAGGGAAAAATTAATTGACCCACTTAGAAGATCTCAGATTGAAAAGCCAGCTGCCCACCTTCAGAATTACCACTCTGAACTACTCGCCATGCCATCTTTATCTAAGAATTGTCAAGAATGTCTGCGGAAATATGATTTGTAAACATTGAAGATTCGGTTCACAGCTATCAATTCAGAAGAAACTTGGATGGTAGAACAGGACATGCATTCCTRATCTTTATGTGATACAAATGTGTCAAGAAAAAATGGTGAAATACTCTGTGCAGAAAATTTGGAAATCTGGCTAGCAAAGTGAGGTACCAAGAATGGCATCACATCCTGAGTTTGCCAGAAACAACTGGATCTAGTTGGTTTACTAAACATGCAGATGCTATTTATTAAAGTCTCTCTTAACCTGAAGTCCACAATAAATAGAGAAAGCATAAGGTATTTTAAATTTTTGGTTCTCTGTAAAACTTTAAAACAATCTCCTAAACACTAGTGTAATTCTATAAGGATGCTTTCATTTTTCTTTTTCTTCTTCCTTTTATTTTTATTTTTATTTTTTGCTTTTCTTTGCCCTATAAGATAGAATGGCTATGGGGCTATGGTACAATAGATACAAGTTAAAAGATATTTTAACATAAAAATTCAATCAACCAAATGATCTATCAATGCTATTTAATGAAAATGGGGCCAAATACCTTGTATAACATTGGCAGAGAGATGATAATTCTGGCCAAATGATTTAACTACCTGAACCATTAATGTACCAATTATTTTACAAAATGAAAAATACATTAATAGTGAATGACAATGAATTATTTAAGCTATACTCATTAAATAAGTATTTGGAAATAAATTTATAAATTTGATAAAAACCATGTGCATATGCAAATTTTTAGTTTTGTTTTGAAGTCCCTAGCACCAAAAAAAAGAAAAAGTAAAGAATTTTTATCCTTTAATTTCTGACATCAGAAAATAAACGACTATTCTGTCAAACAAAGAAGACATAATTCTTTTGCAAAGWTTGGTTTCTGTCACAGACCATGTTAATTGGAGATAAGTTTTTCCATTTAGACTTTTCACTTCCTTTGATCTTACATCACTATTTCTTTGGTGATCTGAAATAGTTCATAGCATAAYAATTCGATTTCCTTTGCAAGGTTGAATATTTCCCAGAAATAAATACTAGTTGGTTGATGGAGAAAAATCTATTAAAAACACTGTTCACCAAGATGGAAAATCGATATGTATTTCTCAAATGAATTCCATTGACTAAATTTTTCCTGATGTATAATGTGTTTATAATGTATTAATTAAACATGTCAAAGTGTAAGAGAAGAGCTTAAAAATACATTTAAAAAGTCTTAGACAAAATGAAATTCCTAATACAGTTTAGTAATTATTTAAAATAGAACTCCCAATCAAGGGTCTGGTTTGCTTTCTTAATACCATGCAATATGAACATAAGAAATGAGGACTATTTTGAAGAAAGGGGGTCACTGTGAATTTCTTGGTTTTATTCAATTCTACAGATCCTCAGCTGCCCTATTGAAAGGTCTTACTGCTGTATCACATAAAATACTCTATTCTTGCTTACCGGTCAGTTTTCCATGGCTAAAGATCAAAAAGTATTCTGAAAAACAAACCAATCTCTAATTTTCATTTATTAGATCATAAATAGAAGTAAAAAGCTGATCTGGGGCTATAAAGCTCAGCAGGGACAGTCAGAACCAGATACCAAGCCTCCCTCCTCACTACTGACTCCTCCTGGCATATAAACTTTGCCTTATAAGTCAYTTACTCTAGGTCAGTAACTAAGTACCAAAAATATAAAGTTCAAGCTAGTTGTATATCAGACACCCACGTATCTATAAAATCAATCTCTCATTCAATAAGAAAAAATTCAAAGCATAAGTCATTGGAAAACAGCATCTGAAAATAAAATTTCTTTGCTGAAAATAGTTGCAACTTTGCCTTCCATATGTATTAACAACTGATGCTTGTTTTACCGAAAACAGTTAAAAGCCAAGCTTCATTTGGGAAGAAACTCAAAAATATCTTTGGATCAGATTTTTTCCTATTATTTTTGTGTGTGACTGTTAGTTGAAGTTTATAAACAAAATACTGAATTGAAATCAAAGGGTAAGAGATCACTGCAAATTTGTCATGCTTTCCTGTATTTTAAATCATAACTCTTTTTTTAAAACTTTTCCCAGTATGGGAAAATATTCCGTAAGCTATATTTCCTGAAGAACCTAAAGTCCCTATTTTAGATCTGAAATCATTAGGATGCTAGTGAAAACCTACAAACAGAAAGCAGGGTCAAAAGTATCAAGGTGCTTGAAGAAAGACACATTTCTCCCTCTGGTCCCAGGGTTTCACACTCATTTCTCTCAGTACCTCATATATTTTCCTCTATATGGACTAACCATTGACTTCAAAGGAAAATCGTGCAAGGAAAGGATTTGCAGGGTGTGAAGAGAAGCAGGAATTTGGCTCCACATATTCTGAGAAACCTACCTCCATGATTAGTGATTAACAATTTGAAGTGGCAAGATGTTAAGATGAAAGTATAATGAGAATTAATGGAAAGAAAGGATTGTGGCTGSAGATGAGAATCACAAATAAAAGTTCCCATCTCCACTGTTAGAATCAGAGCTCAGAAGTCACCAATCAACAATCATCTCCCCTTCTTTAGAAAAGGTAACCGAATCACAAATAAGGATGACAAAAGGAGATTGGTCAGATTTAAACCAAATGTAGCTTTTTGAGAAGCAATATTATAATCTCTTCCACGGAGATTTATAAAGTGAAGTGATCAGTGGGGCTTGACACGCCTCCTTGATATTTCTCTCCATCTCCTTCCTTGTTCAGGGTTTCATTGTTATAGAAACCCCATCCTAGTCTCTGATGTCACTGTCCACTTCTGCCTACAACTCTGTCCACATAGCAACTGAAGTAACCACACTGAAGTAGGACTTCAGTCAAGCATCTTGTCAATGCAAAACTTTCACCTGCTGCCCACAATATTCACTATAGAGAACACATGTTGTAGCCTGCAGGCTTTTCATTCTATCTCATCTCACTGTTCCAGTCACAGGCCAGATTCCCCYTCAGATTCCCAAATGCCTACTGTGACTTCCCATGTGGTGGTCTTTCTGGGGCAAAGGTGATACTTTCTCACCTCTACACTTTTAGCCACTTTTGTCCTCCTAGCAAAGGTACTAACCAGAGTASCACTCATTTTTCATACTTTTGGATACCATATACCTCATAACCCTGCTTTGATTCACTAAGCTAGGAATGAACTCTTAATGATAGTATAATAGCATTTCTAAACAGAGGGTTGTTTTTTTTTTTAACCTATCTTAGCCAAACGATATTTCAGAAGTAYATTTCATTTGATTTTACTGCTTCTGGCTTCAATATAAGTAAAAGAAAAATGATTACACATTTCATTCACATAGACTTGGTAGAATCTGATCTCTGTCTCTTAGCAAAGATATTAAGACAATTAAGGTCTTTAAACTTCAATTTTTCCATGTAAAATAAATCCAATAATTCCAATCTTATTAGAACTAAATAAAATATACTTTAGAAATTGTTCCATAACAGTTGCTTAAAAAATATAGGTCCCTTCCCCATTTGTTTATATTACCCAAAGACTCTTGGACATTAGGTACACATTTAATGCTTCTTTTGTTAAAGAAGATTGGATGTTTGTTTCCAGTGTAAGTAGAAATGAAGAGAAGGTCATTCAATCTCCAATGACTCCAATAAGGATCACTTGGATCAACCATATTGAATATTTCCTAAGAAACTTTTCAAGAACGCATCTCCACGATGCATTCTGTTCATCATTGCTGTGAACTTACAGTACCCACTTCTTTTCTAACAGTGTGCTAATTTGATATAATACATGGAAAAGTACAATGAAAACAAAAATAAGTAACAACAACTTTACATGTTCAATTTTAAAATACTTAAAAAGAACAAACTTTATACGCTGTAAGAAGGCTACCCAGTTTTCATTGTGGAAGTCATTTTTTTTTTAACTATCAAATTTGTCACCCAAAAATGGCGGGCCCTCTTTTGAGTATAATTTTAGCATTATCCACTTCAGGAATTATTCATAACATATATGTGTAATTCTCAACTGGCCTCTCCTTGCCTGCCAGCATACACTTGGGCTGCTTTCTCCCTATAGTCAGGAAACGCAGTCATTTCAACATTAGCCAAAGTGAAATATAATTACAAATGTATATCTCCTGCCAAAACTTCGTRATGCATGCCAAAAACAAATAGACATTGTCTATGGTTAATCTACTGTTTGGGTTTTCCACACTGTGCTCTCTTTGCATTAACACAGAGGATTTCAGGTAACTTTTATTCTACTTCAGCACAACAAATTATAATCTTTTAAAGGGAAAGCCATCAAAAACACTAGCCATGATTTCAACTTTTGCTCARCATCCCCTAAACTAGCAATGACTTATATGAATGCATTTTAACATGACACATCTCAAGAATGATAAACTGCTTGATGTGCATGAATTTCTTTCTCACCTCCTCACAGATCTTACCTACATGACTATAAATTGACCTGCTCCAAACAGTTTCATTTTCCAAAAGGGCCACTTCTCCAAATRGAAGAAAGCCAGGTAAGCTAAATAATTTTTCTTATCACTTAGCAAATTCTTGAAGTTTTCAACCATTGTATTATCTCAGAAACTAGATCAGAAGTCTGATAAATTCCATACTTATCTCAAGAGATTCAGCCAGTTCTGTTTTGCATTGTACAAAGCCATGTCTGCCATCTGGGCATGCGTTCCAGTCTTTTATTCCCCTGTGCCTACCCTGGATGTTCACTGCCTTCTACTGTTGGCACCCCAGTCACCACAATGATAATACAACCAAATACAGATGTTTCCTCTTGTCCTGATAACAAGAGAAAACTTCCCACACCATAAAATGAGATCTCTAAACTTCCAGGCACTCTGAATGCCCAAGCAACTCCTGAGCAACCTGCAAATCCAAGGAAGAAAGTAGGAGCCTGAAAGGAACAATACTGCATCTTTGATCTAAGTCACACACAGTTTTTGCCTCCCAGGCRCTGCAGTTTCAGGGGGCAGGCATTCCATGCCCAGAAAGAATGACAACTTAGATTCTGAGAGGCTTTCTCTTTCATTTTTATAACATGCATATAATCTGAGTTTAATTTGTCTGCTCTAAAGGAAAACCTGTATAACGTCATAATTTGGCTCTGCATCTTGACTAGATGATGTGGGATAGTGAATTGTCTTGGAAAATTGTCCTCTGGAAAAAGCTGAGTCTCTGTTGGACTGACCATTCCTCTCCCCTCTTAGGACCAGACTCTTCAGCTTTTTTAATTTGTCCAAACCAACAAAGTTCCAGCCAGTCTCTGTACTTGGTTCTTATCCCATAATTCACAACTGTTAGGCTAAATGAGATGAAGCTGGGTTGGTGGGGATAGGGGGAAGAAGGGGTCCTCTGGGGATGTTAATTATCATTTTAAATGCTTTTCAAACAGAAAAAGAATGTCAAAAGAAAGCATAATGAGAGGTTTGGAAAACCCATACCACACACTGAGTTAAGCCAGGATGCTGGGAATAGAGAGAGAGTGTGTCAGAAGGAAAGGGGAAGGCTAGCAAGACAGAGTTAAAATAATAATTATAATAAGAAAAAAAAAAAAAAACTAACCTGCATAGGGGATGGCGATGGGAAGCAGAAGGAGATGTAGGAGGACGTGCTGCAGCAGCAGGACTGGCAGAAGTTTGGTCACCCACATGGTGCTGCGGGACGCGCTGGTGGGTCCCACTGGAGGAGATGCCCCGGTGAAAGAATCCTGTTCGCAGTCAGKGCCTAAAAGAGCCAGTCGGCTCTGAGCTGCTTTTTATTGCGATGAGCTAAGTTTGTTGTGTGATTAACTGGAAAGATCTAGGTCTGAACTCCCTCTTACGGTAAGAAACTGTTTAACAACAGCCCTTTACTCTCTTCCAGCCCCTCCCTTCCTCACTCCCCCCACCACAACACCCAACAGATCCCACCCCCCACCACTCCCCCCGTTAAGAAAGAAACTTACAAAGAAAAGGTCACCTGGCCTGAGGCCAGCTCCAATTTGGAAGCTCAGGCTCCAGATCCTAGTGGCTCCTATCCGAGTAGGGAAGGGAGGAGCAAGACTCAGCCCAATAGTTAAATCAAGGCACAGGCAGAGGACCAATTCGCTCAATTTAAACAGGAAAATACATGTGTTTACATATCTATTTGGGAAAAGAGGAAGGGGAAGCAGCATAAGAAGAAAGCAAAGAGCTGCTTTTCTGCGAAATGTGCCCCAGCTCCTAATCTGTCTAGTTTCACTGCTGGAGCAATCTAGGGATTCAAATCACAGACTGGTTCAAATCACACCGGTTCCCTGGGGTTTTAAAGACAAGGAGAGAGGTGGGAGGGAGGGGAAGGAGCAGATCCCTGGCACTTTCAGCCTAGGTAGAGAGGGGTTAGGTAAGAAAAGGGTGTGGTTTTGTGAGACAAAAATAAATAAAAAAGAACAACTGAAGCTCTCAGATTGTCTAGTGTGAGGATCACCTTGTCTGATGGGCTCAGGGCAGGCAATCTTTTTCAGACATTGTGCCAAACTCCCAAATCACCACAAATATACCCAAAATAACTTGGCTGATTTACTTGTGATGGTTCCTATTAAAATGTCTAAGAGACAGTCATTGTCAATTGCTTATCTCTGACAGGTAAATAAATATTCCATTGACAATATGTCCTTGTATATATGTACATCCATATAATTTATATATATATATATATATATATATATACACACACACACATATCAACATGCATGCACTTTCTAAAAATAACTTTAACTGGAAATTTCTCAATCTATTTTAATTCCTGAATAATAAATGTATTTTATATTTCTTTTCTCTAGCTCTGTTCTGCACACACCCACCAGCTTCCTAAAGTTGAGGTACAAGCTTGCATGGGGGTGGAGGGGATTCATAAGTATCACATTTTGATGAGATCATTGTCTGGACTTCTCATTTTATTCAGAAGATTATTTTTTTCTTTACAATTTGAGGGGGGATACTCTGATTACATTAGGCAACAACTTCTCTATCTCTAATGGATTTTGAGGCGTCCTTGCCTCTGTGTATCTCCGAGATGGATACCCATAAGAACCAGCACCACTGTAACAGGAAGGGAAAGTGAAGAAAAACGTGGGAATGACTCCAGAGCCCAGCGCAGCTGTACAGAAGTCATAGTAGGCAAAATCAATGTCAGTCACAGAACAGCCTTTTCTCCCCTCCACATGCAGCTTCCCCACCCCCACTTCCAGAGAAAGCAAAAGAGTGAGTAGCAGGAAGGAAGGAAGAGARGGAAGAAGAAAGAGAGGAAAGAAAGAGAGTAAAAAGCAGAGTAAAATAAAGAATGAAAAAATGAAAGAGAAAGAAAGAAAGGGAAAGAAAAAGAAAAAGACCCGCCTGATACTTGCACACATTTCTGCGATGGGATATTTAGGGAAGGGAAGGAATAAGAGAATTCCTTTTGAGGGGTCCATTTTATATTACCTTTTCCTAGTRCTCACCTATTTCTTTGATCATTTTTGCCTTAATCCTAATCCATGTATGTGCCATTTTGTCAAAAATGAACCCAACTACTATGTATGACTATAATACTCTAATAAAATGGTTTTTAAAAAGACTGTCAAATTGTTTCATGGCTGGATGCCTGCCAGGCTAAGCCAGGGTAACCACCATAGCCCTTGAGTAATGGTACTTGTGACTCTACTGAAAAGACTTCAAGCAAAACACAGAGTTGTAAGCAAAAGTTTAATAGAGTGAGAAGTGAAGGTAACATACAGCATGGGGTCTACATAGACCACCTCCAAGAAAGGACGGTMTGCACACAGGGTTGGAGTTTTTAAGGAACCTGAGTCCCTTGTTCTTACCTCAATTTCCCTGTTCCCCTTAATGGCTTTAGTACCCTTTGGATGGCCCTCAGCAAACTTGCCTTTTGAGAGTCTCAATATGCTGATTGTTGGGGTGATTGGGTAGTTGTGACATAGTTTTACCATAAGGGAAGTTTGTAGGTACTTGGTCACAAGAGAGGATGGGAACATTGTTCTGGAAACAGGTTGTGAGGGAGATCTTGATATACCAGACCCCACTTCTCTGATGCTTATGTGTTTCAGTTAGAGTCCCTGGGATTTAAGTAATACTTTCTTCAAGGGGCTTTAATTATCCACAAATTGGGGAAGGTTGGGCATTCAGCTCTCATTMCCAAATGTTTTCTTGTTTAGATAATGCTCCCTGCTGTTTCAGTTTTATGGATCTTGGATTTTTCTTGATACGTAGGCTTAGTATCTCCCTCTTCTTAACTGTTCATGGCTAACTAATCTACCTAACATTTCCCTCTCGAGGACAAGAACCCCTAAACTCTTTAAGATTAATTGACTGTGACTAATTCTGGCTTATTCCTGATGAAAGGTGCAGCATTTAGGGGAAGGAAACCCCAAATCCTTGYTTTCTGCCAGGTGAGTGAGGATGTTCCAAGGGTCCATAGTAGAAGGAGGAGTCATCTATTGATCAGTGTGCTATATTCCTTATAGGAGCTGGGGAATAACAATTGTCAAGTAGTACTGGGGGACAATGGGCAAGGCAACATATGAAATACTAGCTAGGATGACTTAAAAACAAGTCATGAGAAGGTCCTTCCACCAATAAGAGATGCCAAACAAATTATTCCAATAGTCTAGAAAAGACAAGGTTGAGTCCTCCATCTGTGATAATTAAGTTTTACTAACCTGGACAATACCAGAAATATTGCCAGGATTGCCAGAAATGTATACACAACACGATAGCACGTTCCTCCTTGAGCTGCAATTAAAACATCAAGAGTCATCTGATTTTGGAGTACAGCCTATCTCATTTTGTGATTTCTGAGTTTAACAATTCTTTTCCTTGAGCTGTGTCATTGAGAGTCCTTGTGTGTACTTAGGATTCTACAGRCCAAATTACCTCTTCAACTCTTAATGAAAGAATAAATATAGAGGCCAGGTAATCATACCAATGGAAGACTCGTCTTGTCCATTGGTGTTTTAAATTTGCAGTGTTAGCAGGATTGGTTAGAGAGGCTGCCCAATGCCCCTGCAGCTCCCAGAAGTATTTCATTTGTCTGTTCAAAAGTAGCTCTCTCAGTGAAGCATCAGCCATAGCCTGGAGGGGAAACATCCTCAATGTCATTGAGATATATTCCACCAAGTCCTGAATTTATAGCATCCATCTGTAGCCCAATATTCCTCTAAAATACATCTTTGTAGGGCTAGCCACTCTTGTCCTTACAAAGAGGAATCCCACCAGGACAGCCCTGAGGTGCTACAAGGAGGCATTAATTCACAGATCTGGCAATTAGTCTAATTAACTTCTTGGGCATGGTGTTGGGCTCAACTTATAAAAGAGTTAGAACCTTTAGTTTAACTAAAGTTTGACAGGAGGAGGAAAAAGTTCAGACTATTCATTTTATAGTCAATGATATACAGTATAATACCTACTGTAAATCCTAATACATTCAAAATTCTAAGAATAGGAGGCCACTGATGTTGAGGAAGAGGGTAAAAGGAAATTTGTGGGTCCCAAATAGAACTCATATATTTTGGTTAAGTTTTAGTAAAAAGGAGTCATAGATCTTTTATCAGGGTGAAGGTTAGTTGGTGTGTGTGTGTGTGTGGGGGGGTCTCTAGGTACCTGTTGGGATCATCTTTTTTTAGTCCACAGCTTACTCAGTAGTGATGGATCCACTTGGAGATTCCTGGAACCTTGATAGCTATTGGAGTAGATAATACTATAGGGAAAGGCCCCCTCCAGATAGAGTTTAACTGGGGCTTGGATTGATGATCTTTAGGACACTTAATTAGAACCTGGATCCCAGGAGGGAATGAAGGTTGAGAAGCTGCATTAGAGGAAAGAGGAAGTTGTTTCCTAAATTCCTTTAGTGTCTGCTGAAATTGTCCTAACTCTTGTCACAAATTTTATTGATTGAGTTTGTTCTTCCTCTATGGCAATGTCATTTATTATTCATGGTAGATGTTACTGGATGGGCTGATTACTTCAGTGACCCTCTCAGTTCTTTTTAGGAGAAAACTTGAACCCATCCAGTGAAGTTGTCTATCATGACTAACACATACTTAAATCCCTGACAGGGAGGCATTTGGAAAGAATCTAATTGCCAATCTTCTCCTGGTAATGATTATTTCTTTGAGCTGGTGAGACTAAAGCAGGAGTACTCATGCTTGTGGATTATTGAGGGCACATATCTCACATGCCTGAATTACTTATTCTGTGGTCTTAGTCTATGCTCACTAAATAATTATTTGCACAAAGTTATCATCTTGGCTTTGCCAGAATGTCAGGAATCATATAACTAACTCTCTAAGGACCTTCCACTGAATATGGGAAAGGTGTATATTTTACCTAGATATAGCCATCTTTCTGTGTCTTGAGTGTTGCTATAACTTATGGCCCATTCTTTTTCCTCTAATATATAAATGGGAGTATAAGATTCTATTGCTGAGGTGGGAATTAGTGCAGCTACTGTCTCTGTGTTGAAAGCAGCTGCTTTAGCTGCTTTATCAGCTAAGTTACTGCCTTGGGCATCCTCCCTATCTCCTTTCTGGGGTCCCTCACAATGAATGACAGCTACCTTTTTGGAAAAGTAGAAAACTTCTAATGATTCTAAAATCTGTAGTCCCTATTTTATAATACTATTTTTACAATTTAGAATATGCATGTAGAACTAAGAATGCATATTTGGAGTCAGTTATATTGTAGCATATTTATCTTTACTAAGAATTAGTGCTCATGTTAAAGCTATTAACTCAGCCAATTGAGCCAAGGTTTCTGCTGGCAAAGATTTTGCCTCTATAAACTCTGTTAAGGATACGATGGAGTAACCTGCTTTTCAGATTCACTACTGAACAAGGGAACTTCCACCTGCAAACTAGATATCA